TCTTATTTATTTCATTATTTCTTTATTAACCATTGCTTTTAATGTACCCTGTCTTCCTGTATTCCATTCGCGTTTTTTTCAAATTATTTTTTGTCCTTTGTTTGTCTCCACGCCCACGTTCCCTCTGCTCCCCAGAGCCCTCTCATTCTTGTCACGACGTCTCTTGAGACAATCCTCGTATCTGAAAGCACCGTTTGAGCTCCATGGCTCTCAGCGTACATCTCTTACGCAGACAGATCCCTTCCTCGGGCTTTGTCCACACCCCAGAACCGTCTTACTTAATCACCGCCATTTCGGATGCATCCGTTTGGTCGGTCGTCCCCCGAGAACATCCGTACGTTGCGGGGATGCCTTCCCTAGTTAAGCATCCCGTGCGAGAGCTGTCTTTTATGTTTGGCTCTTCTCCCGATGTCACCGTGCCTCCCAAGGCCATCCTCGTGCTCCGCCGCCCTTTATCGGCTCTGCTGTCGAAGTACCGAGGCCTGAACGACAGGTCTCGAGCCAAAGTCACCCTCTAGATGAATCTCACGACCAAACGTGTTATATAATGACCGTATCCAATCATTAGTGAAATACATAGCTTGGATAGAACATCTCATTATCGAGATAAGTAGCTTAGATAAAACAATACATGAATATACCGACATTTCCTAGTTTAGGAGCCAATTATTGAGGTTGATTACACAAACTCCCTCGGATCCTCTTATGTTGACATTTCCTAGTTTAGAAGCCCATTATCGAGGTTGAATATGCAAACTCCCTCGGTTCGTCCTCGAGCCTAGGCCAGGCTCCGGAAAGAATCCCAAAGGAGGATGACGAGGCGACTCAATCCACCTGATGTCTTGCGTGCATTTTGTCAGTTCTACACGTTTACAGATTTGTTTGTTAACCCATCTAAAACTGGAACCCTCGCTCAGCAAAGACAGAGACCTTGTCCACAAGCGGACGCACTGTGCAGGACTCGCCAGTTTCCGGGAAAGTCTCTCCAATCCTTCGTCGTGATGGGGCTCCCCGGCTGAAGCATGGATCCAGGCGATGGTAAAGCACAAGGACAATCGGTGATGTATCTTTCTTAATCACTATGACTCATCTGGTATAGTAAGGACTGGACACATCGCCTTATTTTTTAAGCACCTCGTTTCTTACCTATCGCTTATTACCTCGAGACAGCCAGCCAAATAAGCCTATCTCTTTAGCTCAGCTTTTGCGCCCTTTGCGTTAACCCCATCGATTGGCAAAACGGCGGCGCGCTTTGTGCCCTCCACGTGCCAAGAGGACCTTTCCCGACGCTATAGTTTGTCTGCAGAAAGTTCACGTCTTCCTCTACGGTAGCTAGGACACGTCTGCTCCATCCCCGGTGCTCAGAGAGCACGCGTAGTCCATTCATATCCCCTCCAGACTTCCCAGAGGAGGGATTCTCGTAGGATCTACCCTCACTTTGTCATTTAGTTCTATCCACAGCATAATTCCAGTAGAAGCTAGCTAGCGTGTGCAGTCTCGGTAGAAACGAAGCGTAACCCTATAGCATTTTGGTTGTTTTCTTGGAAACTAAAGCACATCATTGTCGATAAGAGTATCGTTATTGCCTTTATTCAACACTTTTGTTACAGAGCCTAATCAAATACCCATCTTTTTCTACGTATACACTGGAAAAATTAAGCAGAACTCCCTACCGGGTCGCATCGCCGACACAACAGGCCCGGTAAAAGAGTGGGTATTGTCATTTCTGGTAAGAGTCGCTTTCTCCACAGAGCGCTATGCGTGTTGTAAACTTCAGGCAGAGGAGAAAATTCCCCTCTGCTCCTCTGGCTGACTTTATACCTGTGGGGGTTTGGCTCCGCCCATTTCCCAGGGGATTGTGGGCAGGCAGGTGGGCGGGGCCCATGGTATATGAGCCCCCCCCCACCGCTGTTTGTCAGGGAGTTCATTTCACTTCTGGGTTTCTCAGGTGTTAGTGCTCTCTCAGTCCTTTCAGGCAGTAGCAGCTTCTGAGCCATTTAAGCTTGTGAGACAGATGTGTTTTGATCTCTAGAGGAACAGAGTCATTTGAGGTAAGATTTTCTTGACCGTTCAAGGTTCAGCATCGTATATAGGAGATAGAATGTTTATATGTAGCATGCTTTTTTAATTTTTTTTTTTTTTTTTTTTTTTTTTTTTTTTTACTTTACATTAGTAATTTTGTTTGGGAGGGCAAGATAGTTTAATAAGATAGTTTCACCTTTGGGATCATCTGAGCATCTGAAAGCAGCCGGGAAGTAGCAAGGCCAAGCACGGGGTTGGTGACTTCTCACAAGCGCAACGGTAACTTTGTCTCTCGGTAAGTTAGGTACCACAAGCGTCAACGGCTGCAGCATCTGACTCCAAAATGAGCAGGTGAGCGGAACACCGCAATGCTTCTTAGACGGGGGCGGGTTGTCGAAGAGGTAAGCGGGGAGCAGCGTGATACTGACCGGCAGTTGTGCACTTCTGTGCTATTTTGCAGGCGATAAAGTAATCTGGCCACTGCAGGAACATGCTACCTAGATGCTGTGCTGTTTTTGTCGAGGATGGAATCGGAGCTCCGGTCTTCTGAAAGCTAAGTCGAGGGAACGGGGCCGAGAGGAGGGGACGAGGTTGGGAATTGCAGGGAAGTGTTTGAAAGTTAGCATAGGGGAGAAGGCTGTACAGGAGCAGGGCCCTACAGTCAGGTAAAGGGAACAGATTACTTTTTCCCTCGATTTTAGCGTATCCCGGGCAGGGCAGTTCCAGGCTCTGTGTGTGTCATCGTGTAGTTTGTTCCTTCTGTCTGCCGTGTCTTTGCCCTTCCTCGGCTCTAAATGTCCTCGCGTCTCTTTGGGCTCGCAGAGCACAGCACGTGCCTGAGGCACCATCCGTAGGGTATCGAACGCCCATCTTCATCAGCACGCTGCCGATCGGGTGCTTTTTATTCTTGCGTTATAAGCTTGAAGCGTGGGTAGGTCTTGGAAGTTTCCGGTCGGGAGGCTTTCGCGCAGCATCGTCGCAGGCTCTGGCGTCAGCTCTGCAATTCAGGCATCCGTTGTTCCTGCCGGTGACTTCTTTCCCGTATCCTGACATTCTTAGGTCTTGAAGCCCATCTTCTTGCATACCCATCGTCTCCGTTTTGATAGTAGCTTCTCGTAAGGGGCCGTTCCACTTGGTGCTTCTCGCGGGCTGCCATACAGCCTCCTCACGTCACCATCGTGGCCCTCCGAGTCATCTCGCCTTATGGCATAGCCTTCTGGGTGTCCTTATCGCTTAGTGTTCAGTCATCTTTGAATCGTGTCATTTGTAGTATTTTGTGTGTGTCTGTGTGGCTTGGAGCTGCTCTGCCTGGGGGTGTAGAGTCTCAGGGATAGGTGGAACAGAGTTCACGGGCATACTGTATGGGTTTGTTTTAAATAAGAAAACAAATCCTCCAACTGGGCGACATCTTTGTCTCCCCGGTGGGGTTTACTTTCACCCAGTCGCAGATGCTCTCTGAGGGTGACGGTCACGGTCAGCGTCTGGGTGAAGGTCAGGTTTGGGCCAGGATTTCCTCAGGCTAGGCGCTCGAGTCCCCCAGGAACAGTATTCAGGGGGTGACTGCCCCTCGTGACAGTTGGGTGGAAGGATGGGCCGGTGGAGAGTGGGGGTTTGTTTTGGCGGTAGGTGGAATAGCGGCATGTTTAGAATGTGTCTAGCTGTGTAAGAGCATTTGTCGTCTCTTTTCTTGCAGGATGTAGGCGGGGCTCAATTTGACTACGTAGACTGGATTTAATGAAAACCTCTGTCAGGGGAATAAACTTCTGTTTTCCCTGTCTCCTGGCTGGGTAGTCTTTCCCTGGTCCCGGCCGGTGTGCAGTGCAAGGATCGTTATCTGGATTTGGGTGCAGGTCAGGCTCAGGCTGGAGTTTTTTCAGGCAGGATGATTTTTTGAGGCTCCCATACCTGGTGTTTCTGAGGATCACGGAGGGTGATGGCTTGTGGCGGTTTTGGTGGTAGGGTGGCCGACGGGGAGAGCAGGTGGTGGTTTGAGTGGTAGCTGGCTGTGTGGTGTTTAAAATGTGTGTAGCAGTAGCCTGAATGGTTGATGTTTTGTTTTTTCCTTACGGGCTGTAGGTTGTGTAGCTTTGTTTAGAGGCAGTAGACAGACAAAATAGAAATTAAAAAAAAAAAAAACAAAACAAAAAACAAACCAAAAAACAAAGAAAAAAAAAAACACACAAAACCAAAAATCCAAAAAAACCCAAAACAGCTGGGGGACAAAAAATTTTTTCTTTTCCTGTCCCCTGGCTGGGTTTTTACTCCCCGGTCCCGGCCGGTCTGCGAGGCGACTGTTGTCGCCTATGTTTGGGCGCAGGTCTGTCTCAGGCTGGCGTTTTTAAGGCAGTGAAACAAAAAAGGGCCAAACAATCGGCCTCAAACCGAGGTTGACTTCTGAGTGAATCCCCCGACCAGCAACCAGCATCTTATCAGCGTGAAAATGCACCCCTGGGAACCATCCCTGGGAACAATCAGTAAACGACAGGAAGTAACTCTAAATCCCAAATGTACAGAAAAAGAGTAACTCCTCAGACATGCCCGGATCCTGGCCAGATCTGGACGTGCCCGAGTGAGGCATATCAACCTCCCAGATATCTCCTGTGCATTTTGTATAGACTTGCTTGTTAAACTGTATAAAAGCCGGACCCTCTCGCAGCAAAGACGGAGACCTTACCTACGAGTGGACGCACTGCGTGGGACTTCCCAATTGCCGGGAAAGGCTCTCCGACCCTTCGCTGTGACGGGGCTCCCCAGCTGATGCACGGAGCTGGATGATGGTCAAGTAGGAAGGCAATTGGTGATGTATCTTTCTTAATCGCTAGAGCTAGCTTTATGTAGTAATGACTAGATGCGTTACCTCGCCTATTCTTTCTGCTGCTTTAAACCAAAATAAAATAAGCCTATTTCTTTAGCTTGGTGATGTGTCCTTTGTGTTAAGCCCGTCGATTGGCAAAACAGGCAGGCAGAAATTTTTTTGTGTGGCCTCCCCGGGAACAGCCGGTTGTGTTTTCTCCCGTTTGTTTTTTCTTGCAGGTGAAGAGGAAGGCGTCAACTGCAGGAAGGTGCTAGTTAGTTGCCGCGCTGCTTTTGTCGAGGATGGAATCGGACCTCCGGCCCTCTGAAAGCCGAGGCGAGCGAACGGGGCCGAGAGGAGGGGCCGAGGTTGGGAATTGCAGGGAAGCGTTTGAAAGTTAGCACGGGGGAGAAGGCTGTACAGGAGCAGGGCCCTACGGTCAGGTAAAGGGAACGGATTACTTTTTCCCTCGCTGTTAGCGTGTCCCGGGCAGGGCAGTTCCAGCCTCTGCGTGTGTCATCGTGTAGTTTGTTTCTTCTGTCTGCCGTGTCTTTGCCCTTCCTCGGCTCTAAATGTCCTCGCGTCTCTTTGGGCTCGAGGAGCACGGCACGCGTCTCAGGGGCCATCCCTAGGGTATCGAACGCCCATCTTCATCGGCACGCTGCCGATCGGGTGCTTTTTTATTCTTGCGTTATCAGCTTAAAGCGTGGGTAGGTCTTGGAAGTTTCCGGTCGGGAGTCTTTCGCGCAGCATCGTCGCCGGCTGCGGCATCAGCTCTGCTCCTTAGGCATCCATTTTCACGGACTGTGACGTATCCCCTGCATCCCTCCATCCTAGGATTCGGACTCCTACTTCTCGTCCGCCGTCTCGGTTTTGACGGTAGCTTCTTATAACGGGCCATAACGCGTGACTCTTTCTGGGGCTGCCATATAGCCTCCTCGCCTCCCAGTTGTTGCCCTCTAGGTCTTCTCGCCTGACATGGTATCTTGTCTGAGAGTCCTTATCGCTTAGAGTTTATCTTGGAATCAAACCTTTTGTAGCGTTTAGCGTTAGTGTATGCGTGTGCCTGTTTGGCTCAGAGCTGCCCTGCCTGGGGGGTGTAGAGTCAGGAGTAAGTAGAACGGCAGTAGAAGTCAACGGTTTAAATGCTGATACGCTTAGACCGCCTAGGCGACAGACGTACGGTCACCTCACAGTAGCCACCACAGGCTGTGCGGACGGTCATTTCTAGAGCGTTTTATGGCGACTGTTGGAGCGGTGTGGGAGCAGCTGTCCAGCAGTAGCAAATTAGATGGAATCTCAAAGGCGTTAAGGCTCGTAGGTGTGGGAGCGTACTCTCTGGGGGGAGGCGCGTGGTTTTCTTTTTAACAACAGGCTGTAGTTGGATGCCAGCTAGTATCCCGAGCTGGAAGTGACACCTCCGGATTTGTTAAGCATCCGGGTGACTCGCATGACTGTTTTGACATGCGGATGGATGAGATGCGCACCAAAGAGTGACGAGGGAGGTGAGCGGAGGGCCGTGAGAAGGTGGGTCACTGAGCGGTGCGGGAGGGAAGATGGCACCGGTGCTATCTGAGGGGATGATAGCGGTGTGTGGTGTGTTTTGTGGTGTTTTTTGTCTGTTGTTTTTGTTTTTTAGATGGAGAGCCGCAAGCAAAGTAGGATTTTGGCACCGGAGGCAGCTTGGGCAAGGTGAGCCACGACTAGGGGGGGTTAAAGTAGCAGCTCTTATTTTAGGCATCAAATTGTCGGTGAAAGTAGAAGCATCCCTTGTGGTACGTGTGTTACAGGTGGCACACGAGCCTTGACGTGACAACTGGAAACAGCAGCGGCAGGGCAGGTGAAGGGCCGAGGTAAGGGAGCGGGAGATGGGAATCCGTGCGGGCAGACCCCAGTTTCAGGCGGTAACTCGGCACCTGTCTTTTCCTTGAGTTTTTTGCAGGTGCAGCAGATGGCCGCGGAGGGGCCGAGCCGCACGCAGACCGACAGTCTGAGAAGGTGAGGCAGTTGTCAGCCAGGTCGGTGTCTAATACGGAAGTATCGTAGGACCGCTCCGTTGAGCGCTCGCCTTGTTTTTGCAGGTGCTTTGGGAGCTGCCTTTGGGATCGGATGAGCGTTTGAAGCGAGCCGGGGTAGTCGCAAGGAGGATCGTGGGTGACTCGTTAGAAGCGCAAGGGTAACTTTGTCTCTCGGTATCTTAGGTAACGCCGGCGACGACGGCTGCAGCATCTGACTCTGCAAAGAGCCGGTGAGCGGAACCCCGCGACGCTTCCGAGTACAGGGCGGTGTCGTGGAAGAGGTAGGCACGGAGCAGCGCGATGCCAACGGCCGGTTGTGTTTTCTCCCGTTCGTGTTTTCTTGCAGGTGAAGAGGAAGGCGTCAACTGCAGGAACGTGCTAGTTAGTTGCCGCGCTGCTTTTGTCGAGGGTGGAATCGGACCTCCGGCCCTGTGAAAGCTAAGTCGACCGAACGTGGCCGAGAGGAGGGGCCGAGGTTGGGAATTGCAGGGAAGCGTTTGAAAGTTAGCACGGGGGAGAAGGCTGTACAGGAGCAGGGGCCCTACGGTCAGGTAAAGGGAACGGATTACTTTTTCCCTCGCTGTTAGTGTGTCCCGGGCAGGGCAGTTCCAGCCTCTGTGTGTGACAACATGTAGTTTGTTTCTTCTGTCTGCCGTGTCTTTGCCCTTCCTCGGCTCTAAATGTCCTCGCGTCTCTTTGGGCTCGAGGAGCACGGCACGTGCCTGAGGCGCCATCCGTAGGGTATCGAACGCCCATCTTCATCGGCACGCTGCCGATCGGGTGCTTTTTATTCTTGCGTTATCAGCTTGAAGCGTGGGTAGGTCTTGGAAGTTTCCGGTCGGGAGGCTTTCGCGCAGCATCGTCGCAGGCTCTGGCGTCAGCTCTGCAATTCAGGCATCCGTTGTTCCTGCCGGTGACTTCTTTCCCGTATCCTGACATTCTTAGGTCTTGAAGCCCATCTTCTTGCATACCCATCGTCTCCGTTTTGATAGGTAGCTTCTCGTAAGGGGCCGTTCCACTTGGTGCTTCTCGCGGGCTGCCATACAGCCTCCTCACGTGACCATCGTGGCCCTCCGAGTCATCTCGCCTTATGGCATAGCCTTCTGGGTGTCCTTATCGCTTAGTGTTCAGTCATCTTTGAATCGTGTCATTTGTAGTATTTTGTGTGTGTCTGTGTGGCTCGGAGCTGCTCTGCCTGGGGGTGTGGAGTCTCAGGGATAGGTGGAACAGAGTTCACGGGCATACCGTATGGGTTTGTTTTAAATAAGAAAACAAACCCTCCAACTGGGCGACATCTTTGTCTCCCCGGTGGGGTTTATTTTCACCCAGTCGCAGATGCTCTCTGAGGGTGACGGTCACAGTCGGCGTCTGGGTGAAGGTCAGGTTTGGGCCGGAATTTCCTCAGGCTAGGCGCTCGAGTCCCCCAGGAACAGTATTCAGGGGGTGACTGTCCCTCGTGACAGTTGGGCGGAAGGATGGGCCGGTGGAGAGTGGGGGTTGGTTTTGGCGGTAGGTGGAATAGCGACATGTTTAGAATGTGTCTAGCTGTGTAAGAGCATTTGTCTCTTTTCTTGCAGGATGTAGGCGGGGCTCAATTTGACTACGTAGACTGGATTTAATGAAGACCTCTGTCAGGGGAATAACTTCTGTTTTCCCTGTCTCCTGGCTCGGTATCTTTCCCTGGTCCCGGCCGTGTGCGATGCAAGG